CCACCAATAGACCAAGCTGAACGATCTTTTACTATTATGAATGAACAGGCACTGCTGATTGCTCATTCATATTAGTAAAATTTATACTGCATTTTTTTTTCAAATTTTTTAAAAACTATTAATGGCAGCGATCAGCGACTTATAGCGGGACTGTGGCAGGCATTCTTACACTGGTGGGGGAGCTGACTAACTGCCACTGAAATCCCCACTGACACTAATACAGTGATCAGTGCTAATGACTACACTCCACTGAAACTGCCCTACTAAAACTCACTAATGATCTACTAACTGCTAAAACCAAATGGCCACTACTCCATACTCTTACTACTTGACCTCTCTGCGGCTTTTGATACTGTGGACCATCCCCTCCTCCTCAAAAAAAAACTCCACTCTCTTGGCCTGCGAGACTCTGCTCTTTTCTGGTTCTCCTCCTACCTATTGCAGCACTCCTTCAGCGTTACCTATAACTCTGGCTCATCCTCTCCACTTCCTCTTTCTGTAGGGGTCCCTCAAGGTTCTGTCCATGGACCCCTTCTCTTCTCCATCTACACCTCCTCCCTTGGTCACTTGATAAACTCCCATGGCTTTAAGTACCATCTCTATGCTGATGACACACAAATCTTTCTACTCCTCACCTCACCCCTTCAGTCTCCTCTCGCATTACTAACCTATTTAGCGACATATCAGCATGGATGTCACTCCACTTCCTCAAACTCAATCCTTCCAAAACTGAGCTCTTAGTATTCCCTCCAGCCCGTGCCCCCTCCCCTGACTTCTCCATCAAGATCAATAACACAATCATCAGTCCCTCCCCTTATGCCAGGGTACTAGGTGTAATCCTAGGCTCCCATCTGTCCTTTCAGCCCCAAATCCAATCACTGTCCAAATCTTGTAGACTTCACCTCCGCAACATCTCCAAGATATGACCGTTTTTAACCTCTGAAACTACTAAGCAACTTATTCACTCCTTTGTTATCTCTCTCCTTAACTATTGTATCTCCATCCTCATTGGCTTACCTAATCGCAGGTTATCCCCTCTTCAGTCTATCATGAATGCTGCTGCCAGACTCATTCACCTTACTGACCGTTCCATATCTGCCACTCCTCTCTGCCAATCCCTCCACTGGCTTCCCATTGCCCAACGGATAAAATTCAAAACATTAACAATAACATATAAAGCCATATATAACTCTGCCCCAAATTACATCACCAATCTTATCTCCAAATATCACCCAAACCATCCTTTCCTCTTCTCCCAAGACCTCCTGCTCTCTAGCTCCCTTGTCTCCTCCTCACATACTTGTCTCCAGGACTTCTCCAGAGCTTCCCCCATCCTCTGGAACTCTCTACCCCAATTTATCAGACTATCGCCTACTCTGCTCACTTTTAGGCGATCTCTGAAAACCTATCTCTTCAGTGAAGCCTATCCTGCCCTCAGCTAATAATGGAATCTTCTACTCTTCCAACCAGTCCATCCCCCACAGTTACCACCTTTTGTACCACTAGCCCCTCCCTCTTAGATTGTAAGCTCCAAGGAGCAGGGCCTTCCTAACCCTCTTGTATTGAACTGTATTGTTGCTGTATTGTAAAGCGCTGAGCAAACTGTTGGCGCTATATACAGTGGGGCAAAAAAGTATTTAGTCAGCCTCCAGTTGTGCAAGTTCTCCCACTTAAAAAGATGAGAGAGGCCTGTAATTGGCATCATAGGTAGACCTCAACTATGAGAGACAAAATGAGAAAACAAATCCAGACAAACACATTGGCTGATTTGGAAAGAATTTATTTGCAAATTATGGTGGAATATAAGTATTTGGTCAATATCAAAAGTTCATCTCAATACTTTGTTATATATCCTTTGTTGGCAATGACAGAGGTCAAACGTTTCCTGTAAGTCTTCACAAGGTTGGCACACACTGTTGCTGGTATGTTGGCCCATTACTCCATGCAGGTATCCTCTAGAGCAGTGATGTTTTGGGGTTGTCGCTAGGCAACACGAACTTTCAACTCCCTCCGAAGGTTTTCTATGGGGTTGAGATCTGGAGACTGGCTAGGCCACTCCAGGACCTTGAAATGCTTCTTACGAAGCCACTCCTTCGTTGCCCGGGCGGTATGTTTGGGATCATTGTCATGTTGGAAGACCCAGCCACGTTTTATCTTCAATGCCCTTGCTGATGGAAGGAGGTTTGCACTCAAAATCTCACGATACATGGCCCCATTCATTCTGTCCTGTACATGGATCAGTCGTCCTGGTCCCTTTGCGGAGAAACAGCCCCAAAGCATGATGTTGCCACCCCCATGCTTCACAGTAGGTATGGTGTTCTTTGGATGCAACTCAGCATTCTCTCTCCTCCAAACATGACGAGTTGTGTTTCTACCAAACAGTTCTATTTTGGTTTCATCTGACCATATGACATTCTCCCAATCCTCTTCTGGATCATCCAAAGGCTCTCTAGCAAACTTCAGATCGGCCCGGACATGTACTGGCTTAAGCAGGGGGACACGTCTGGCACTGCAGGATCTGAGTCCCTGGCGGCGTAGTGTGTTACTGATGGTAGCCTTGTTACGTTGGTCCCAGCTCTTTGCAGGTCATTCACTAGGTCCCCCTGTGTGGTCCTGGGATTTTTGCTCACTGTTCTTGTGATCATTTTGACCCCACAGGGTGAGATCTTGCATGGAGCCCCAGATCGAGGGATTATCAGTGGTCTTGTATGTCTTCCATTTTCTAATTATTGCTCCCACAGTTGATTTGTTCACACCAAGCTGCTTGCCTATTGCAGATTCACTCTTCCCAGCCTGGTTCAGGTCTACAATTTTGTTTCTGGTGTCCTTCGACAGCTCTTTGGTCTTCACCATAGTGGAGTTTGGAGTGTGACTGTTTGAGGTTGTGGACAGGTGTCTTTTATACTGATAACAAGTTCAAACAGGTGCCATTGATACAGGTAATGAGTGCAGGACAGAGGAGCCTCTTAAAGAAGAAGGTACAGGTCTGTGAGAGACAGAAATCTTGCTTTTTTGTAGGTGACCAAATTCTTATTTTCCACCATAATTTGCAAATAAATTCTTTCCAAATCAGCCAATGTGAATGTGATTGTCTGGATTTTTTTTTTCTCATTTTGTCTCTCATAGTTGAGGTCTATCTATGATGCCAATTACAGGCCTCTCTCATCTTTTTAAGTGGGAGAACTTGCACAATTGGTGGCTGACTAAATACTTTTTTGCCCCACTATAAATCCTGTATAATAATAATAAAAAAAAAAAAAGCACTGACACTGTACTAATGACACTGAACAGGAAGGGGTTAACATCTGAGGTGATCAATGGGTTAACTGTGTGCTGTTTTACTGTGATGTCTGTGTGTGCTTTACTGTGTAAGCACACTGCTTTGTATTGCTCTGCTGTGCAGAGCAATACAAAGCAGCATGCTGGTGCCGACAGGGGAGGGATCTGTATTGTTTGCATACAGACCTCTCCTCTTTCACTGTTCCTCAGCGATCACTGGGTGCCGGTGGGGAATCTCTGGTCAGAATCCGGTGATCGACAGCTAAAGTGACCAATGGCATCACGGGTAGGGTGGAGCGCAAAACTGCCCCCTGCCCGGACATACGCAATCACGTGTATTTAGCATTCCTGCGGCTTGGTTCCTCCAATCCACAACTTTCCCAGCTGCATATATGTCCCATTCATCACTGGCTCAGCATGCATTGTGTGCTGATATTGCAGGCTGTGTGTGAGAACGGGTTGACAGAGGGTGGGAAAAGTGTGCACAATGTAGGTGGGCCGTGGCAGAACTAGAAGGTAGGGCTGCTGCTTCTACTGCTACCTAAAGTACAAAAGTCTGCAGCATCTGCCAGCTAGGGGCTTTCTGGTGTGGACAGGGAGGTCGCAGACATGATCCTTCATTGTCACTATCAGGAAGCTGGTCCAGAGCAATGGAGTGCAGCTGATGCTGGAGTGAGTGCAAGAAGTGGCTTTAAAGTAGAGTTCCACCCAAAAGTGGAAGCTCCTCTTATTTGCCTTCTCCCCCCGTCCACTGCCATATTTGGCCCTTTTGGGGTGCCGGCGGTGAAGTGAGCTAGAAGTTCAGCCCCCTCCTTCCTCCAGCAGTCTCCTGGGAATTTTCACAGGTCCCAGAAGACTGCCGGACCAATCAGTATGTGTAGCGCAACTCACACATGCGCAGTGGGCAAAAAATTCAGAACTAGTGGGTTTCTAGAGGAGTTTTTTAGCTGTAAAAATGCTGTAATGCTGAAAAATGTGGCAAACCAATGTTTGTGGGCGTTTTTTTGAGCAAAAATGTTTTGTTTTTGTTTTTTAAAAAAAAAACGCTAAAAACCACAAACACGTAAAAACGTGGCTAAACGCTAATGCAAAAATGCTAAAAAATGCAAAAAATTCAGGTCTCTAACACGACTTTACAGTACCAGCATTATTAGAACGCCCAGTGTGCTTGGAGCCTATCACCTAGTCAAAATTTAGATCTACTTTTTTTAAACTAGGAGTTCATCACAAATGCTGGAAAACGTCTATTAGCACATTTTCTTATAAATGTTACCAATTCCATTTCATCCATGTTGTTTGCATACCATGTAAAAGCATCAGTGCCTCTTATAACCGCTGAAGACACGCCAGTTCAGCTTCTACATGTGGAAACACGTCAGTAAGTAAGTCGTGTGCACAAGTTTACAAAGCACCTCCAGTGTTTACATAAGATGAATTTGCATAGAAGCGAAAACTGGAAAGAAATGAAGATGGGTTAAATTGAAGCTCTGTTTTAAAATAAAGAAGGGTGTAACCTGAGCGTTTTTTGGTGAAGTGTCTTAAATTACAAACTGAGGATGCAAGCTTTCATCTTGATGACACTTCTAAAGCTTGCTCAAGCCGAAACCAAGGCAGTTTCTGCACTATGCTATTTGTTTTATAAAGTGTGGACGGTTTTATTCTAAAGTATGTATAATAAAACACAGCTGTATGATTTATACATGTATTTTAGAAAGTCGACAACATTAAAGTGTTACTAAACCCACAACAGTAAAATCAGTCTGTATATGCAGTAAAGCATGCTTGTTATACTCACTGTGGAACCTAAGGGTTTAATCCTCTGCATTGTGTAAAAAGGCTGTTTGATCCTGACTTCTCGGATCCTCCCCTTCTTCCAGTGTTCCCCTCTTATCTCCTGATAAGACATATGGTGTGGATCCTCCCCTTCTTCCAGTGTTCCCCTCTTATCTCCTGATAAGACATATGGTGTGGATCCTCCCCTTCTTCCAGTGTTCCCCTCTTATCTCCTGATAAGACATATGGTGTGGATCCCCCCCTTCTTCCAGTGTTCCCCTCTTATCTCCTGATAAGACATATGGTGTGGATCCTCCCCTTCTTCCAGTGTCTCCCGCTTATCTCCTGAGAAGATATATCATGTGGAGACACTCTGCACATGCTCAGTTTGGTGTGTATTGCTAGAGAGGGTTTTTTTTTCTTGGGAGAGTGCATGTGATCAGCACAGAGCCAATCAGCAGACAGGCATCAGGGGTTCTGCATCCTCCAAGAGCAGAAAGAAAACGAATCCTTCAAGCTTTAACCAGTGTTCTGCTGAACGCTGCTGGAAGTCACAAGACTGCTGATGAGAAAAGGGATTTAGCAGTTTATATTTACTAAAATAATTGCATTTCTATGTTGTGTGTACTGTGTGAGACCAGATATAGTGCATGCAGGGTCCTGGGTTTAGTAACACTTTAAAGTGTTACTAAACCCACAACAGTAAAATCAGTCTGTATATGCAGTAAAGCATGCTTGTTATACTCACTGGGGAACCTAAGGAGTTAATCCTCTGCATTGTGTAAAAAGGCCATTTGATCTTTTCTTCTCTGTTCCTCCCTTTTTTCAAGTGACCACCTCTTATCTCCTGATAAGATAGACTGAACCATAGGCATTTGCACATGCTCAGTTTGGTGTGTATTGCTAGAGAGGTTTATTTTTTTTCTTGGGAGAGTGCATGTGATCAGCACAGGGCCCAATCAGCACTGTCCAGACAGAGGTTAGGGGTTCTGCACCCTCCTAGAGCAGAAAGAAAATTCCTCCTACAAGCTTTAACCAGTGCTCTGCTTAACTCTGCTGGAAGTCACAAGACTGCTCTAACTGCTGATGAGAAAAGGTATTTAGCAGTTTATATTTACTAAAATAATTGTACATACATGTCCTGTGTACTGTGGGAGACCAGATATAGTGAATGCAGGGTCCGGGGTTTAGTAACACTTTACGTATTTTTGTTATGCTTGCATCTTTTCAGCTCCCGTAAGTATGAACATAGATTCCTTCTGTATATCCTTGTTTTATGATGGTCAGGAACATTGACTGTGGGTGAACATTTACAGTCAGTGCCATATACCCACTGTTTTGCATGTACTGTACATTGCCCCGTAAGCTCCCTGTATATTAAGTTTGCACTGTGGTACGCTGGTCCAATTTTCCATTTTCTCTATGAAAGAGAAGCACAGTAGGATCACAGCACAGCCACAGCACAGAGTAACTGGATTCAGCACTTTGGATATGAAAGGTAGTTTAAAACACTACTGCCATCTAGTGTCAAACGTTAGTACAGCAAGTCGATAACTACTGAGCAATAATGTTTTTTTCTGCTTGTTCACGCCATATCCATTGAACTGCATTTATCTGCATAGCTCAACACATGGAGACAATTGTTTTTTGTGTCCTGTTCACATCACAGTGTTGCATTGAGGGCCAAGGCAGTGGTCTGCATAAAAATGCAGTATGTATGCAATGCTGATTTGAATGCAGTGTTATTTCCCGCCGCCTATAGCAGAAATACTGCCCCAGGGCAGCAGGGGAGCGCAAAATCATGTATACAGGTGAAACTCGAAAAATTAGAATATCGTGCAAAAGTTCATTTATTTCAGTAATGCAACTTAAAAGGTGAAACTAATATATGAGATAGACTCATTACATGCAAAGCAAGATAGTTCAAGCTGTGATTTGTCATAATTGTGATGATTATGGCTTACAGCTCATGAAAACAACAAAACCACAATCTCAGAAAATTTGAATATTGTGAAAAGGTGCAATATTCTCGGCTCAAAGTGTCCCACTCTAATCAGCTAATCCTAATCCTAAACCTTTAAATGGTCTCTCAGTCTGGTTCAGTAGGAATCACAATCATGGGAAAGACTGCTGACCTGACAGTTGTGCAGAAAACCATCATTGACACCCTCCATAAGGAGGGAAAGCCTCAAAAGCTCATTGCAAAAGAAGTTGGATGTTCCCAAAGTGCTGTATCAAAGCACATTAATAGAAAGTTATGTGGAAGGGAAAAGTGTGGAAGAAAAAGGTGCACAAGCAGCAGGGATGACCGCAGCCTGGAGAGGATTGTCAGGAAAAGGCCATTCAAAAGTGTTGGGGACTTTCACAAGGAGTGGACTGAGGCTGGAGTCAGTGCATCAAGAGCCACCACACACAGACAGATCCTGGACATGGGCTTCAAATGTCGTATTCCTCCTGAACAACGTCAGAAGCCTCTTGCCTTGGCTAAAGAAACACCGACCTGGTCTGTTGCTCAGTGGTCCAAAGTCCTCTTTTCTGATGAGAGCAACTTTTGCATCTCATTTGGAAACCAAGGACCCCGAGTATGGAGGAAGAATGGAAAGGCACACACTGCAAGATGCTTGAAGTCCAGTGTGAAGTTTCCACAGTCTGTGTTGATTTGGGGAGCCATGTCATCTGCTGGTGTTGGTCCACTGTGCTTCATTAAGTCCAGGGTCAACGCAGCCGTCTACCAGGAGATTTTGGAGCACTTCATGCTTCCTTCCGCAGACAAACTTTATGGGGATGCTAACTTCATTTTCCATCAGGACTTAGCACCTGCCTACACTGCCAAAAGCACCAAAGCCTGGTTCAATGACCATGGGATTACTGTGCTTGATTGGCTAGCAAACTCGCCTGACCTGAACCCAGTAGAGAATCTATGGGGCATTGCCAAGAGAAAGAGAGACATGAGACCAAACAATGCAGAAGAGCTGAAGGCCGCTATTGAAGCATCCTGGTCTTCCATAACACCTCAGCAGTGCCACAGGCTAATAGCTTCCATGCCCCGCCGCGTTGAGGCAGTAATTGCTGCAAAAGGGGCCCAGACCAAGTACTGAGTACATATGCATGCTTATACTTTTCAGAGGTCTGATATTGTTCTATGTACAATCCTTGTTTTATTGATTGCATGTAATATTCTAATTTTCTGAGATTGTGGATTTGGGGTTTTCATGAGCTGTAAGCCATAATCATCACAATTATGACAAATCATGGCTTGAACTATCTTGCTTTGCATGTAATGAGTCTATCTCATATATTAGTTTCACCTTTTAAGTTGCATTACTGAAATAAATGAACTTTTGCACGATATTCAAATTTTTCGAGTTTCACCTGTATATACATGATTATGTATTTTCCGCCATTCACGGCCTCAGCTATCCATCACCGGGTCCCGGCACACGGTGATCACCAAGTAATACCAACAGGGGAGAGAACTGTAGGTAAACAGTACAGATCTCTCCCCTGTCAGCTCCAGCACACTGCAGTGTATGGCTCTGCATAGCATAGCAGAGCCATACACAGCAGTGTGCTTACAGTGGAAAGCACACACACAGCCCCATATCAAAACACACACAGCACACAGTTAACCCTTTGATCACCCCTCATGTTAACCCCTTCCTGCCCAGTGCCATTAGTACAGTGTCAGTGCTTTTTAGCACTGATCGCAGTATTTGTGTCACTGGGGATGTCAGTGACACCAAGTCAGTGTCAGAATGCCCGCTGCAGTCCCGCAGTCCCACTATAAGTTGCTGATCGCCGCCATTACTAATAAAAAAAAAAAAAATTCCTGTACATATACCCCCATTTGTAAATGCTAGAACTTTCATGTAAACCAATTAATTTACACATATTGGGATTTTTGTTTTTAGCAAAGATGTGTAGCAGAATACATTTTGGCCTAAATTTATGATGAAATTTGATTTTTTAAAATTTGTTTTATTGGACTTGTTTAATAGCAAAAAGCCAAAAATATAGTTTTTTTTCTCAAAATTCTTGGTTTTTTTTGTTTATAGCGTAAAAAATAAAAACGCACAGGCAATCAAATACCACTGAAAGAAAGCTCTATTTGTGGGGTAAAAAGGACGTAAATTTCATTTGGGTGCAGTGTTGCATGACTGCGCAATTGTCAGTTAAACTAATGCAGCGCCGTAGCACAAAAAATGGCCTGGTCAGGAAGGGGGGTAAATCCTCTGGAGGGCAAGTGGTTATTAACCGCTTTAGCACTGCCCCATAGCAGAAGCACTGCTACAGGGCAGCAGCAGTGCGCAAAATCACGTATATATACGCAATTTTACATTTCCAGGTAGGGGGCGCGCTCAAGCCCTACCCGCACTGCAATTCGCGCCCACAGCTGTCAATCACTGGGTCCTGGCCGGTGATTACTCGCTGATGCCCGATGGTTGCCGAGTAATCTCCAACGGGACAGAGAACTGTTAGTAAACAAAACAGTTATCCCCCCCTTTCAGCTCCTGCACACTGCTTTGCATGGCTGTGCACACACAGCCCCTAGTAAAACTGCACAGTTAACCCTTTGATCACCCCTCATGTTAACCCCTTCCCGCCCAGTGCAATTAGTACAGTGTCAATGCTTTTTATTAGCACTGATCTCTGTATTGGTATCACTGGGGATGTCAGTGACACCAAGTTAGTTCCCCCCCAGTGTCAGGATGCCCGCTGCAGTCCCGCTATAAGTCGCTGATTGCCGCCATTACTAGTAAAAATAAAAAAAAAAGCCCAGTATATAGTATATACCGCCATTTGTAAACACTATAACTTTCATGTAAACCATTTAATTTACACGTATTGGGATTTTTTTTTGTAAAGACATATAGCAGAATACCTTTTGGCCTAAATTAGATGTTTTACATTTTTTTACTGGACATGTTTAACATCAAAAAGTCAAAAATATAGTTTTTTTTCTCAAAATTGTCAGTCTTTTTTTTTGTAGTACAAAAAACAAAAACCGCACAGGTGATCAAATACCACCGAAATAATTTGTGTAAAAAAAGGGACGTAAATTTATTTTGGGTGCAGTGTTGCATGACCGCGCAATTGTCAGTTAAAGTAACGCAGTGCCATAATGCAAAAAATGGCCCGGTCAGGAAGGGGGGTAAATCCTCTGGAGGGCAAGTGGTTAATAGACTTAAAAAAACAAAGAAAAACAGTAAACATTACCATGTGTTGTAACAATGCAACGCACCACCATTCACTGCCCATATACAATGCATAGCAGCATGTATGCCTTTTAGCATGCCAGCTGGTGTAAAGCCCCTACATAAAAGCCCCACTACTAACAACGCCACCATCTCTCCCACCTCACACGCCAAAGTCCTGGGTGTCACCCTGGACTCCCACCTCTCCTTCCTACCCCACATCCAACTGCTGTCTAGATC